ATGGCTTTGGCTGTTTGCTTACAGAGGTAAGGAACCAGTTTATTGCTTCCTTGTGGATGGCTCTACCAGGGGCTTTGCCAAAGTGGTTCTGACCTTCCTATGAATCACTGCCAATTGCAGTTGGTGCAAGTCAGAGTTCCCTCAAGATCTGGCTATTGTCTCTTGTTGCTTGGTGGCTTGTCATGGAAGCATCAGATTTTAGGCAAGAATCAGCCTGGCAAGAATGTTGTCATTTTCTGCAATTCACCACCTGGAGCACAGCTCACCTGGAAGCCACAGGTGAAAGGGAAGGGCGTATCTCACCCAAACAGCTCCCTGCCAGTGCAGATAGTGCTTTGTGGTATGTTCTCTTCTCTTGTTAAAAGTGGATCACACCCTGATGGACAGTGAGATCTCAGGTTAAGCTTTGGACTTGTCAGGAGAAGACAGAGCATAAACTGACAAACAACAGAAACCTGCACATGGTTTTAATGAATCAAGTTCATTAGTGGCTTTTTGAGACTGGTATCAGCCACACGATGTATAGTTTATGGACATAAAGTTGTTCCCTGAGGACATGTCCCCCTGTCCCCCATGCTCAGCACACAGAGGCTGGCCCACTGTTTGCTTAGTGAACAGTATGCAGATGGGATCTGGTGACCTGTCACATGCACGAGCCCACGCTGGTAACTCAACCTTTGGCCATAAGCTCTAGAGGGGAACTGCAATTACACTGATGTGTTTGCTGAAATTGTACTTCAAAAAGATTAATTTCACTAAAAGAAAAGGGTTCTTTCAATTTAAAGCAGATTAAATGTTTTCATAGGTTTTGTGTTATGATAAATACTTGCTCTGGGCATGACTTTCTGTCACATTATCAAATTTTGTGTAATCACTGAACTTCTGCAGAAGACTAAAGAGCACTATCAATGGAAGGAAGAAAACTTTGCAATACAGACTTTTTATTATTATTATTTTAATCTAACAATTACTAATGCTTGGTGCATCTTCAAATGTTACAAATACTCTGTACCTGCACATTATTTTATTTACAACTGAGCAAAATGTATGAGGTTCATTAGAAAAAAATTTAGAGAAAAAAAAAAGTAGAGAATTTGTGCTCATGAAGACTGCTGAATGAAGCTTCTGGTACAAGGTTCAATTGATCTAGCCCAACTGAATCTTGCCAAGAATAGTCAAGGTCTAAAATTAGAGTAAATTATCAAACCCGTTCTTTAAAAAAAACAAACAGGAACAAAGTAACCCACTGCTGTTGTCTAACATTTTCTGTGAGGAAACGCAACAGAAGTACCACTGCAGAAGTATTAATGTGGAGGTCCTTAGAGGAGAGAGCTGATGCTAAGCCATGTTTCTGTCTTGCAAGGTAAGGAGTCAATTTAAACACTTGCTTTTAAATGAATGCACAGCAAAAGCAAACAGGAACAGCTAAACAGATAATTTAAAAATAACTGTTCCTTGAAACTTCCATGTGGTTTTGGCAATGTATGCTTCAAAAGACAAACATTGGTCTTTAAAAAGGTTTATAGCTTCATCTTATGATACCGCCATGAATATCTTTGCTTTTATGCCTGTGCACATTGCTGTTTTATAGATAATGTTGTAGTTCTGAATGCTGTGTGTTGATATTATAATACCTGCATCATCACACACCTCTCCCTGTCAGTGGCAAAGCGCAGATAATGAATGAGAACATTTTCACTTCCTACAGCCTACATGTTTTTAACTTATGTGTAAATCTTCTGCATGTTACTGTACATATTTATTCTTATATAAAGGTATCTTTTAGGAGAGAATTATCCATGGTAGTCACTCCAAAGATCAGGATTTGAAAGAATAAGCACTAAAAGGTCCGTAACAATATTGTTTAATTGCCCTTCTCATGTGGCAGGGCTATCTTTTGTAAACAGTAAGTGAGAAGTAATACCAGAATGAAATAATTGGGACTATAGTTATTAAGTAAGGGAGAGCCAAGATATACAGCTAAAATGCTAGAAATCATAGTGCAGGTCAATTTGAAACATTAGCTAATTTTAATTAAACTTACAAAGCAATTTTGGCTGAAAAACATTCTTTGCTCAGCTCATAAAGCAAAAGAAAAGGTGTCTCAGTTTCCCACAGCAACTCAAGATGGATGTCCTAGGCACCAGAATTAACATCATTATTTTGTGTTGGCTCCAAAACTAAAGCCACAGAATTCTTCTGCACTGCTACTTAAAATGAAATGTAACCAAAAATTCGTAACATTGACTAATGTTCAAAATAACAACAATACAGGATTGCTAACAAATAAATGTTTAAAATGTTTATTTGATGAAAATAAAAAATAGAAACCAAATTCTATAAGTTTGTTTTTATAAGGCAAAAATCAACAAAATAAATACTGTGTGCCAGTTATCACACGTAATAACCACAATTTTGATGGATACATTTTTAGTAGCAGTGCCCAGCAGCAGACAACTGTTTTTGCAGGTGAACATTGCTGTTGTACTGTTTTGATGATACACTATAACCCTGCATTAATGTTGACTGTTAGGATAGCTTTTCTTGGAGGGAGAAAAAAAAGGATAAAAATAGAATAATGATGTAAAACCTAATTTCCTTGGTTAGAAGAACTACTTAGGACAGCCATTTGTTCTCCTGCTGTTCCCTAGCACTGTGGAGGAGCCAGCACTGCCAGGGAACCAGTGCAGGAAGCAACTTCTCCCTCCTCTTGCTGCCACACAATCCTGGCCATACACCTACCTCATAGCCATGTACTTTAGGCTGCTGTCCTAAGGGCAGAAAGGATATGCCAGCCCCTGCAAAAATTCAGGCATTTGCTCTACAAACATTTAAACCACGTGACAAATTTTGAACAAATCTGACAAGGTATCAAAGATACTTTATAGTTGTTTTAAAAGCAAAAAATTAGTATCCGGGAATTACAGCAAGGTCTAAATTGGAAAAGCCTGCACTGTGAGCTAATGGCCATACATGTGGGGAGGGCTCCACCAGACAGTCTCCAGACAGGCTGGCCAGCCTTGAGCTGTGGGTGTAGAGGGAACTGAGGATATTTGGGATCAAAGGAGTTACAGAAGAGCTGGATGTACTGGGAGGAGGTTGTAGGGAACAAACGAAGGAAAGGGGGTTACTGCAGTGGCATAGGCCCCCTGCAGGAAATCATTCTTCATGAGTATGACTGCTGATGGAACAACCTGAAAATTAAATGTTCCAGATCAAGGAACCCATGGCCCTTGGAATGCCTGACCCTTCCATGGTGTGGCATGTGTACTTACTTTCTCACCCCTTCTCATCCTTTAGAGCTGAGAATCTTTAAAAGGAAGGCTTGGCAGCAACTCTCCTTTGCCAAATCCATTGCAGACCTGACTAGGGCATTGATTAATGTGTTTACTCAGACAAAAGATTTGCTAAAGTAGGAACCAAAGAAGATGCCATGGAAGGTGTGAGTGATAGATACAATTTTTATACAACAAGAGAATAACAAAATTAGGTGGATAGTAAAATAGATCCATAATCCTAAAAAAAAAAAAAAAAAAAAAAAAAAAAGGTAATGGCAGAATGTTTATTAAGCAGGGAGTAATTAAATACTTCTATGGTGTGGGTAGAATGTGGACATGCAGGCCATATACAATGTAATAAGCTGTAGTTTTGGTCACTGCATAAATGGGGTAGTGAGAAGCCAGGTGAGCTTCTCATTGGCCATGAAGACACCGTTTTGTATCTTGTCACAGTCATGTGTACTTTATCTGCTTGGTGGAATAAGCAAGTTAGGACTGTGTCTGATAGACAAAGAATCTGCTTTAGCCTTCAATCTTTCTCCATGAAACAAGAACAATAGACATGCTGGCACCTCGGTCTTTGGGACAGCTGACGGATGGCAAAGAGGGCATTTTCTTAGACAGGAAAGAGTAATCAGGACTCATGTCCCTGCAGACAAAATGGAACTGAGTATCTGTGTGACCATGTGTTCTGCTAAGTAACCTAGAAAAAAGGAAGTGTCTCTGGCTCTGTTTTGTAGGAAAGACCTGAAAGCAGCTTGTCACTGAAAGAAAGGACTCCAGGTAGTAAACGCCATTTAGGGATAAACATGCTACAAATCTGCAACCCCAAATTAAATCCTTACATTCCTAAAAAAGGAAAAGCTCAAGTTACACCTCCAGCAGTGTTTCTCATTTGCTGGCTTGGCACCTTCCCATTCATCATCTTAGTCTCTGTGGATTTTATTTTTAGGCTTCTCTGTTAACACCACACAGTGCACAGGGAGCATTTATGCAAAATTTAAGACTGTGGTTCTCAATGGGTGGCCTGGCCTAAGGTACTTGTATAGAGGTAGTCATTAATTGCTCTGACATTCTGTATCATCGAATGACAGTTAGTAGGATTTTCTTAACTCCTTCTGAAGATGTTATACACATAAATACATTCTAAGCAGTAGGGGCCCAGCCTTGTGTCTAGTTCTGCAACTAGAGCTGAATTCAAAATCCACCAAAACACCTGAAGAAATGGAAACCACTGATTCAATTAACCTTTTTTTTTTTTTCTTTGGGTGATAATGTTTTTTTGCCTTAGATTTTGCCTTTGCCAAACCTCAGAGTGCTCTGAAACCCTGCTTGGAGTGTTCCTAGGGAGCCAGAGCATTCCCACTCCATGGCTCTGCAGCTTCTCCTCTCTGCTGTCGCTGACTAGCTGGGCCATGGTGCTGACCCCCCCCTCTGAGCACTGCCCTGCTGGTTTCCAGGTCCCTGCCAGGGCACAAAGCCCTGTTGCTCCTGCAACAAGCTCCGCTGGGCACCTGACACGAGGTGAAGCCCCACGGCAGCCCCTCTCAGGGCTGCGCTGCTCTGGGCGGGCTGAGAGCTGAGGTTGTTCAGCCTGGAGCATCCCTGGGGAGAGCTTATTGCAGCCCTCCAGGGCTTGAGGGGGCCTGCAGGAAAGCTGGGGAGGGGCTTCCGGAAGGGCTTGTAGGGACAGAGTGAGGGGTAACGCTTTTAAGCTGAAAAATGGTAGTTTTAGATCAGGTAGTAGTAGAGAATCCTTCACCGAGGGTGGTGAGACGCTGGCACAGGTTTCCCGGGGAGGTTGTGGATGCACCTCCCAGAGGTGTCCAAGGCCAGGCTGGATGGGGCTCCGAGCAACTGGGTCTGGTGGGAGGTGTCCCTGCCACGCAGGGGCCGGAACCGGGTCTTTCGGGCCATTCCAGGATTCTGCAGTGTGGCGATGGCGTG